ATATGACAGGAGTCTTATTACTATGAAGCACATCATTGATCAACGGTTATTAAAAATGGTGGTAAGTAAAAATATACCATTTGAAAGTAGTTAGGTTTGCACGAATCGAGAATAAGATGACGTAAGCAAACTTAATGTCTAGAAGATTCATAGACCCCAAATAATACCTACTGGATCCGACAGTATTATAAATCAGATTTTGAGGATCAATAGTCACCTCTATCATAGTTCCGGCATGATCAGCTTGATATAGATAGTAATAATAAATGTAAAGAACTGATTTGTAATAGTCGACTGTTTTAGGTTTTCTAATTCGAAAGTTGTCTACGTAATATATTTGCCACATGTATTTCAGTATGGTCCGGTCCGTGTTGATTACATGTGTACTTATAATCTAAGATTTAATGAGTATAAAGAAATAGAAGTGTATATTGTCCCTGAACGGATTCCAACCTTAATTTATCCTTTATACAAACACTAACAAGTATAAGCGTGAAGTATTCTAGGAGTGGTCGACCACATACTGGTAAACTGGATACCAACTCATAGTGACAATATGTCTTTCAGTATGTAATTTACTGGAGAAGTTTATCAACGAATTACATTTCATAATGTTCGAAAGTTGCAATTAGGCTATAAAAATATGACCAGTTTATTATGATTTATATTATCAATATGTTGTAATCCATAGGTGTAATATATTGGCCGTCACCAGAATGAAGTTTCGAATCCATGTGTCCGTTTTCGATGACAAGCAAATGGCACAAATGTCATCTCAACTACATCGAGGCATATATTGTATGTATAAAGCATTCGAGGATTACTGATGTTAATCAGATCTGACAAATCAAGGAGGATATAGCTTGTTCAACATAGTTGATAAGACAGTTCGAGTCAGATCAATATCTTCTATAAGTTGATTTCGCTGCTAGAATTTTCATTAACATGTTAGCCATGGTATTGTCAGTTCATTCGCTTCAGTCCAAATCAATACAAAGATTTTAGAAATGTTTCTTGCTTGTATTACCGTTACACAAAATGGGCTGTTTCAACTGAATATATGTTTATATACGGAAATATTGATTTTAGAGAAAACTGTATTACTTTTATTTAAACCAATATTTATAAACTGAAATATACGGAAATTAACAAAACTACAATATAATTGATTGGATGAAAGCAATTATATGAGTGCGGCTTTATATTCATCATTTCAATCATATTGAATACTCAACACAATTCATACCCACATTTTAATCCACTCTCAATTTTATCACGAATTCTCCCCAAACATTTTGTATATTCATTCATCTCACTGTTGATGACGATTATTATTATTATTATTATTATTATTATTATTATTACTGATCATAGGGATTGTGAGTGGATATAAATTGTAGACTGATTGATGCTGGTCATTCAATTTCCTACAATTTCATACAAGTCACGTTTTAGTATTGTTTCTCTTCATACCATGACTGCTGTTTAGAAATTAAGAGGAATATTTTGACAGACAATAGGATTGATTCAGTTATGACGTAATTCAGTGTTGCTGTGTCACAAATTGAAAATTGATGAAACTCTCAACTGTCATCCTAACTGGTGACAATCAGTGAAATTGAGATACTGACTGAAATGGGACTTCATTCTCAAAACATCGTGTTCAATGTTTATAAGTGTGTAGTGTAGGTGAGTATGTGGCAAATGAGGAAGTGTTTTTGTGATTACCGATAGAGAAATGGTGAAATTCGGATCTGTTTGTGCCATAACGATCCGTTTACTTTTTACATGAATGGGATATTAATTCACCTTAGACGAATATCTACACTAGTTTCCCTCCCAGTGTCTATTCTACAGTACTTCAACACAACTCAGATCGAGAACACGTGATTAGCCTGACTAGAACGTTCATGTTTAAAATTGTGCTCATGAGTTTATATTAGCAGTGATTAATTACTGCCATTTTTCATCCTAGACAGTTCCATATATCCAATTTGGTTTGATTAATCCATTAAATTATATTTAATTAACAAAAGATGAGAAAAAACCTATATTTCAACCAAACAATCATAGATTATCAACTAAATCAAAGTAAACGAGTTCTCAGGGTCAATGAAATTCTATCGATCATATTGTGACCTGACCAATAGTCTGAGTGACTAGTTATTATGGTGGACTTTCTTTGGTGTTAGATAATTTAGACAGTTCACTGAAGTAGATCTGACGTGGAATTTAAGATAGTTGGTTGAGATATTTTGTAGTACAGGCTATAATAAAACATAAAAGGAATATCACTTCTCTCAGGATTATAGATATCCCTTGCCAACGAATGTCGCATAATGTGAAACTTAATGTCAGGTCATCCTACCAACTACCTTCAACCATCTAATAACAAACACTTTCGTGCACAAAACTAGAAGCTCAAAACTTACATTTTAAAACATGAAATTCATCCCAAATATTTATTCATTTTAATAATAAAAAGTGGATAACTCTTCCATCCTACAAAATATTTTTCATTTGCCCAAAAGTAGTAGTTATTGATAAAAGCTAATGAAAGATTAAATTTTGATTTGATACGAAAGCACCACTGAGGAGCCCAATACTGGGACGAAACGGATATCCAGTGCTTCACTGTCTTCACAGATGGTCTGGCTTATATTGGCTCATGAATTCAACTATTAAAATTATTATAATCTCCACAAATCTCTATACTGACTTTTCCAAATATCAAAACATTTCTGTTCTTCAATGATTTTGATGAACCTCTCTCTAAACTAAGTCTTATATTTTATATTAAAACTTTTCCAGCATCATGGGTAAATGAATACAGATTTTTGACTTTTGTCAATTGTACATTGAAGTGTATATTTATCACATATATCTTTATATACTTTTATTATTAAATGTATTGCAGTACAATAAAAAAAATTTAGATTTTCAATGTCTCATAGTTAGTATATGAGGAATATGATAACGTTTTTCATGACCATCTGTCTTCAACAAGTATATATGCATGCATATTTGATTCTTAATACACTCAGTTCATTTTAATATCATATTTTTTATGCATGTTTTGGCAAGCTGGTTAACAATTATATATCCTCATGTATACAATTAGACAATCACTGAATGAAAATGAATTTACGTAGAGCGAGTAAGCTGATTTGAATGATATATATAGCCATTATAAAGCCTTCACAGCCAAGATGCTGTTGAGATGGTAGCTTTGAAAGAGAACGGTCCGTAAGAGCTTTCATTTTTTCGTTTCATCACTGGTGAAGGTCAGTGCAAATTCAATGGAACAACTTAGTAGTAATACTGCATAGGTAAAGAGTTAATTTACTGGCACAAGTAATTGAACTCCTAAACCGTAGTCAATCGAATACTAACAATTATCAATTTTACAACAACAAAGAAAAGGAAATTGGATTACCTAATACATTTTAAATGTATCATCGGATTCACTGACTAGCTAATAAATTTGTAATGCACTTATTTCTCATGCCAATGTATCTCAGTGTGACCAGTGTGTTGAAACTTTTGACTTATTTCGGTACTAAAGTATTGAAAAAGAGTTTACAAAAAAATTTTATAATGTCATGTAGTATTTGTTGAAATTTATTAAATAAGTCTGTCAGAAAATTTAGTGGAACCACTACTCATTTTCAAATTCACATAAACATGACGATTAGTCGGAAAGATGAATAGCAAACGAGTCTAAATACTAGTAGTATCAATAATCATGAAAATATACTAAATATTGAAAATATAGTTAAAATCAAAATGAAGAGAAACTATGTATATAAGAATACTGTGATTTAAACTGTGAATGTAGATCAAAAGTGAATGTAATTGTGACAGTCCAACTGTTACAGAGTCACATCACTTAATAGCTCTAAACAATAATCCCAATTATTATGCAGACCCCAGACTGGTTGTCATTACCTATCAACAGTTACTACCAATATGGTGTGGTCTACTTATATCTATATAAGTAGTATATGGTGTGGGTCAGACATAGGATGTATTTTGGCAGAAGACAGATGAGGAAACAACTGAAATGAAGCGCAATCGTTTGGAAAATGCATGAGCAATGGAATTAGAGAAGAAACAGTGAAGATTGAAACAATTGATTGTTAATTTGCAAATTAATTATTAATTGTTTGGTTATCAGAATTTACTGAAATAGTCTGTAATTTTTGCTTAAGCACATTCGATTATCCCCAACTGGTGTTTTGTTCACTACACCAATACCCAACGTTTACGTTGACTGATATTATGTCCTGGTTTGCTCACCCTTAGCCTTTCTCTAGCCTATTCGCAACTAAACGAGTATCACAAATCGAGACACATGGTAGTATGACATAATATATACGTATATCAACTATTTTACCAAACACCTAACTTTGGTGTGGGTTACTTATATCCACATAAGTAGTATATAACTATGGTCGGGCATTGAGTGTATTTCAGTAGAAGATCGATAAGGAAAGAACGGGAACGGAATGCAATCGGTATGAAAATGCATGAACAATGAAATCAGAGAAGATGGACTGATATTTGCAGAAGGAACAGCCAAGATTGAGACAATTGATTGTTATTTTGCAAATTAACTGTTTACTGTATGATTATCAGATTTAAGTGAGATAGTCTCCACCCGTGTTTTTGTTCACTACATAACTTCAGTCTCGTATGCTTGATTACTTCACCCAACTGGGAAAAAGCTTTGAAGACTAATATATTATATTACTTATAAATGCCAGTAATGGTATTATGAGTAATAGTTACTGTTGTTTTCATAGTTGAAATCATGGGTCAAGTGAAGCTAGACCACCATGGAAAACCTGGAAGCACTGGATGTCTTATTGTAGGACTCCTCAGCAGTGCGAATCCACGATCACACCTAGTGAGATTCGAACCCAGAACCTACCAGTCTCCGTTCTATTTATATACTTTTCTTGTCTTTATAACAATAATAAAATTATAACTCTGATAAATAACAATAAAACTGAATTTATTTTTATTTTTTAATTATGTACAATAGTCTATTGAAATAATTTATCACTAAAAGAAATTAACTAATATATATCTGAATAAATAAATCATTAATCTTATATAGTTAAAATCATGAGTCAATTGAAGGTAGGCCACCATGGAAGCACCTGGAAGCACAAAACCCTCTTCTGATAAAAAAAAGTCATTAATCTATTCAGTATATGTAACAAGGAATGTTAAATGAAGATTTTTGTAAAAAAACAATAATAAAATTTCAAAAAAGAGAAATTTAATTTAAATATGGTCTCCAAACATTTTCTTGTTTAATATAATGTGAAATATTTTCTTTTTGTTCATTATCAATAATAGGATTATTCCATTGTTTCGTAATCACATCATTATGAGATTGCACCAATGTATGAATATAATCAGTAGTATTTTGATTTTCTAATTTACACCAACGATATTTTAATGGTAATCGAAATGTATGACATTTAGATTTTGTATTAACATACTGTAAATTAGATTTTGATTCATTTAAAATCTTTGAACATGAAAGTGGGATGGAACTATTTAGATTGGAATTATTTTTCACCTCTTGACTATGTAAATTGATTGAAGGAAAAGTAGAAAGTTTCGATGGATTTATTTGAATAGAATTTGGTTCAGTTTTATGAAAAGATTGTGATAATGAATTTAAATCATTAGGTTGTATGTTAATTGAATCTGAACGATGAGAAATAGGTTTAATGTTCTTTGTTTCTTGTGAAGCTGAAGCAAGATTATGTAAACGGGATAGTAATTCTAAAAAACATATGAAAAGAAAATAAACTATTAGTTTTGGAGTTAGTATTGGATTCCAAAATGAATGTAATATTCATTTGTCGTGAAAATATCTAATAACAGTATTTTAGTTACGTAACCGAGGATTCACTGGTTTAATTTCAAATTTAATCTCTAAGATTCAGTTCCCACATAAAAATGAAACATTTTGAGGCAAGGCCATCTCAGACAAGATTAGAAGTTAAACAAATCTTAGTAAATATAAAAGATACTTGCTAATACAAACCAATGGAATGTTAAATGTCTATTTTATTTCTCTGTTACCATACATCAATGATTGGTTTTGTATAGATTTCGAGAAAGCGATTTTTTCCAGTGAAAACCATCCATTTCTTATTTATTTGTTAAAATAGATACATAAGACAGTACTATTTGCTTTTCAGCAGAACGAAATTTTCGGTAAGTTAAATAAAAAATAAAACAGAAGATTAGGAAACACTAAATTATAAATTAAACATACCAGGCCTGTCCTTCAGAATTTTGGCGATTCCTTCAAATATCGTATAACAGATCCCAAGTATATCATTCTTCTCCATTTTTGAGTGTTTTGATGGCTGGAAAAAAATGGTTTTTGGAAAAACAACAATATCATCAGGGATTTGAAAGTTAACGAATATTGAAATTTTAATATTTTAAAATTCTTCCCTCTCATTTTCAAAACGAGCTACTTATTATTGTCCTAAGTAGTTTGACTATGGGACAAATACATAATGAGCATAAATTACTTTCTATTATATTCATATTCTATTTAAACTACTTTTGAATGTATAACTATCTAAATATATGTCTGTCTGATAAAAATTCCATAGTTTCAAAAGTTTTCAGTATAGGGTTATGTAGATCGTTGAGGTTTGATAGAGATCATTAATCCATCAGTGTTAGACCACCATTGTGGATGCGCATTTCTGAATAGTCCCATACTAGAGCGAAACGACCGTCAAATGCTTCCAGGCTTTTAATGGTAGTCTAACATTAGTTGATTCATGATCTCGATCAAAATTTTATAAATTTATAAATTTTTGAATTGTTTTTTTGTTAATTCTTCCAATACGATCAAGTTAAAAATTAAGTTGAAAGTAAGAAAATAATTATGTATTCTGTAGTTCAACAGAATTTTTAAACTAAAAACTAGTTAAGAACTTACATCTTCTCCAATTAATTTCATAGCTAAATTATGTAATGCATTCATTTTATCTGAAATACATGCACGACGTTGTCGTTCTGTGTTCCGTTTCTTTAACTGAAGTAAAAAGAAAAATTAATTGGAAAATTTTGAAAAATCAAATATTCCATGTAATGAATATTCTAATTACCTAATTTAAATAATATAATAAGAGATATTAATAATTCATTTATGTTCCAAAAATGTATAAAATATAACTTTATACATGAAATGATTGTAGTGTTATTGTAGTGTTATCCTGGATCGTGGATGCTCACTACTGAGGAGTCCCATAATAGGATGAAACGGCCATCCAGTGCTTCCAGGTTTTCCATGGTGGTCTAGCTTCAATTGACTCATGATTTCAACTATAAAATTACTAAAATCTCCACAAAAAACCCTTCTGAAAATAAATAATTTTCAATGAAAAAAGTACTTTTAACTTGAATGTACCTTTACAGTTCTACTATTTTATTAATTATTATCTGATGATTGATAACTAGCTTTTAAATGAAGTTTTTCACGTTTTTTTGAGAAGACAAAACTTGTTCAACTTATCTAGATCAAGAGTGAAATATAATCAATGACATTAGATAATGATTATGAATTGACTGATGTTGGAACAATGAACCATCATACATCGACTTGGTAGTCTAGAAGTATTGTGATCTCTATAAGACTGGAATTAGAACTAGTTAGCTGATAAATCCCGATCTTTATATGAATCTGTATCAAGATTCAACTTAATAGTTTCAGTAAATATATATATAGATGCATTGGCGGCCTGCTTGAATATCTGAGCTACCTGTCCCTACCATCTAAATATTGCAAAAAGTTATGTTTTTGTTTTAACACATCATTATGTTTATCAATCGCATAACTTATTCAGGCAAGTATATAAAAAGTTTACAACTTTTCGCTGTACAAGTTGAAAAAAAGCACAATCAGACATATTGTGGTGGCTGGCAATATGCACTGAAAAGAATAAACATTATTCAGATGTCAATTCCTGAACTGCTAACATCCAATTGACAAGGTGGATTATCTTCATACTTTACTAAGTCTAAACATATACCGTAATTGTGGTGTAATCACAATTCAGGAATTCAGGTCAAATCATTTACAAGACGATTACTCAGCATCACTACAGGATTTCAATATTTATTGTAAAGACCGATCAAACAATAAGAAAAGGAAACTTGTTGAAACACTGTGCTGAAAATTTTATATTGTACCCAAAAGTATAATATTGAATAAAGTTATTAATAATAATAAATAATGTTTTTGAAAAAAGCTGAGTAATTGGTACGAAGTAGTCATTATTTTCAAAAATCATATTTTATATTTTCATTAGTTCCTTTAAAAATAAACTAACTTAAAACTGTTGGAAGAAAGGTCGAAGTTGTTTCATTTCAATAGCAGTGATTTTAAAAAAATACTATGTATACTCGTAAACCATAAAGTTGCATTCTTACCCGACGAACTTCATCACGAATCTCCAGTGGTATTGTCGACCGTCTACCTCGACGACTGGGTAAGCTGTTCATCATAGAGTTTCTGGAGATAGTGGAGCTTTGTGTTGGTGGTGTCTTATTGTATGGTTCGGTTTTTATGTCTGATGTGACAAATCCTTCACATTCAGAATTCGTTGTAGAGAAATGATTTATAATTGTAGAATGAACTGGTATCATACTACTTTGACAAAATAGATTTGAGCATCCCTTCATTCCACTAAATATATATGGCTTCAATTCTATTCTTAACCAATGAGATAGCAGAAGCTACATGAATAATTTAACTGAACGGCGCATGCATTCTAGCTGACCAATCAAATTTTGACTTATTTATAGCCTTACGCTTACACATGCAATCCAAATGACAATTGCCCTCTTAACGTTCACTTTCCTTTGGGTCACCACCATTTCAACTCTATGAGTCAATTAATTTTAACGTTCTTCCCATCATGGAACTAGAAATTAGTTGTTTTTTTAAAAAACACGTTTCTACTTGTCTGTCAATTTGGTTAGAATTCATAAACTGATTTAATGTATAAAGCAAGAAGAACGATGTTGAATAGTAATGGGATACGTATAAAATCCAATTCGATAAAATATTATTAGCATTAATGCTATTTTCTATCAGTAATATCAATCTGTAATGCAAATCATCATTTTTAACATAAATACGGACAAATTGTGTTTTTCAGTCTAAGGTTGTGAAGATTGTTGGGTTTCATTGATATCATGAACCGGTCAGTATCAGACCACCATTGAAAACGTGGAAGCATTGGACGGTCGTTTCGTCCCAGTATGGGACTCCTCAGAAGCGCGCATCCATGATCTCGCTCACTGCAGTCGGACCCAGGAGCATTGGGTGTGAGGCAGTTATCCGCCGAATGCAATGAAAGTTGGTTACGTGATGATGTGGATCCGTTAGAGTTGGACATTAACACCGTGGCATGTCGGCTCAGTGGTTGATACGTCAGGCGTTCTCTTGACAGGCCGAAGATCTTGGGTTGGAGTCCCTTGTGAGGGATCGTGGATGCGCACTGTGGAGGAGCTCCATACTAGGACGAAGCAGTCGTCCAGTGCTCCCAGGTTTTCATTGGTGGTCTAACATTGATCGGTTCATGATTTCAATGAAATTCGTGTTTCATTGAAATTACAAACAGATCCAAGGTAGAGGACTATTAAAAGCCGAGAAGAATTTAACGGTCATCTCGTCCTAGTATAAAACACCTGAGCAGTTCCCACTCACAGCCCCACAACTGGGAGTTGAACCCAGGACCTCCGGTATTGCATGAACGCTTAACTTCTAGACCGTTGTACCGGGACCCGATGGTGTACTAGCCTAACTACAATCGATCCACGCTATTGTGCAACTATCTATGTTACCTTCGGCTCTTACCTTCCTCAAACTCAACAAAGTTGAACCATACCGATCATGTCTCCTCACTAGAACTAGGGAAAAATCCTGTCAAAGCTAGTTGATAATAAACATATCAGTATAGGTATACAGAGGTCATTGATATTCATTGAAATCACCAACTGGTTTAAGTTAGAATGATTTGCATGATAGTTCAGAGTATGACTATGAAATTACTTCGAGGTGGACGTCTTGTAGTTCTAGCAAGAAACTGGAAGTTGGACCTAGCTAAGTCTAAAGCGAGGTGTACCACCACTCAAAAAAAGAAGTTGTATTCTATTGTGTCATAAAGGTACTCCAGCTTATGTCAGTTCTTGGTGAAAATCGACTTTAAATTAACAGAATGTCTACAAACTAACTGAATGAGCATCGGAGATGGCTTGCCATGGGAACAATCCTTGAATCTGTGATTAATAATACATTAAATAATTCAAATATACTAAGTGAATCCCACTAGTAAATGTCAGTATGAGTTAAAGGGGATAACTGATTTTAACCTAATCCATTTTTTAGCTATTTACAAGGCAAATAGATTTAGTAAGCTGATCTGTGCCGATACATTATATTACTAATTAAATGAAAAAGTTGTTGAGTACCATGAATCAACTCCATTTTCAAATATATAAACCTCAATGCTAAATATTTACATGTCAAATAAATATAGCACGTGAAATTCCAACTTTTCACAAATAATTCGACACCATTTAATTCTTTGAAACTATTTACAGATATTAAATTAGTGTTGTTTGTTTGAATCTTCCCATTGATGTTTAGTACTTTAACTGGTCAGTCTCTAATTGGCATATGTGCATACTGACAAGTCCCAAATAGGAGGAAACGCGCGTCCTGGATTCCACTGCTAGCCAATATCAATCTTTGCTTACCATGCTTGTGAAATAGGGCTGTATCGAGGCTATACGTACAGTATGCACATATGCCAATTAGAGAATGAGCAGTTGCAGTCCTAAAACATCAATGGGGAGATTCAAACAAACAATACTAATTGAATCTAAAACTTCACCCCATTGCACAAGCAAGTGGCCATCAGGACTCAGTAACTAAGTGGATAATGCGATGGCGTTTGAAGCGAAAGGCACTGGGTTCGAGTACCAGAGTGAACATCAACTCTTAGATGCAGGTACATCCAGCTGACGAGTCCCAAATGGGACGAAACGCGCGTCCCAGATTCCACTGCTAACCATTAACCATCTTTGCTTATTTACAGATATATTATCATTCGACAATTATTTAAAAATCTTACCAGAAAACATTAACCGTTTTTAATTAGATCCAGAGTAATATGAAGAACTTTTCAGATTTCACGATAAATTTCTTCAAATAATGTTCGTTTATTACAAAATCTGACTGAATGGAATTCACTTGTCAAAATTTCGATTTAATTGAGAGTATTTTCTAAGATTCATCTCTAACCAAACTACAAAACCTTATCAAATATAACGTGTATTGTCCAAAGAATTCGAAAGATAAAACAAAGATGTCTTCTTTTGTGTTATTTTGGTTAACAGTCAATGTTCACTTCAGTACTTTGATGACAAACATCTATGGAATATTTTGACAATTTCAATTCAGTTAATTACGGATCAAGCAAGAAGAATTAGACATTGTGTTTCCAAGTCTTCAATACTGATCTGACAGATTTCTTTATGATTTCAACGAAACCTATCTAACTGATTGGACTCTAAATCAATTTATGTTACTATGTTGCTGTTGTCCAACTTTAGATTAAATTAGCTGATTAGTTGTAAAGTAATTGATGAAATTTATCAGTAGCAAGAGCTACTAAACACTATTTTGAACAAATACAACAAATAATTGGATCTAACTAACGAAACATTACGATCATTTCTATTGCTCTGCATTAACTTGTGGTGGGAAGGAAGATGCCAAACTCGAATCTATAATACATAAATCACGTATGTACTTGATTATAATCTTCATAATCAACATTCTTATTAACTACATATTTCATGCAGCATACTTTACAATTCTCCTCAATCAACTCACTTATATCTAACCATTAGTCGACTACACACTGACATTCACAACACATGTTCATTCATTCACTAAACGAGTTGATGCTTGTTCTCATCGGTTCGTAATCAAACAACTGTGAGTCAAAAGTCTAACTAACTCAATACAAACATTGTCATATCACTCCACTAACACAATATGAGTATACAAGGTGTGTGGGATGTACAACTCAAAACGGATCACCTAATTTGGATCAATGCCAAGTACTTTTGTGATTTGTCATTAACGTGATATCAATGTGAATATTTGTTACTTGACTGAAAGAGGAAAGATAGTTTAAGGGTTCTGTGTGAACGAGATACTCACTGACCTACATAAAAACAATCAAATTCATTATTACTATTATTATCATTTATTGTCACATTGATTACTGTTATCACTTATTTGAGTATATGTGAAGTACTTTTAAACACCATTAAATTTCGATGGTTGTCCAAGTATTAGCCAAATTGCTAATATAACTAGACATGGTTGTGTAGATAATACCAGTGTTTCACGTGAAATGGTATGAATGTGAGTGGTATTAACACTTGCATTATTGAAGCTCATATATCAGGTGAGTGTGTTTGTTTAGGGGAATACCGATATTACTGACTACTTCATATGTTTCGAATTTTGATTTTTCCCAATTTCAATTGTGTTTTATATTTCATAGAATCAGGATTTTCGAATATTTTATGAATACATTCAATCAAATGTGACATGTTGTTAGATATTGTTTACTAAATTTTTGAACCCACCGCGATAGTTTTTCCTTCATTCTTTCAGTTTATAACCTGAATACAGTAGTATAAAATAGGCTTCCGAAAAGAAAATATCTGAAACACGCAGTAAGTGTCCTGCATTCTTCTCTACCTAACTTTTTATATCTACTAAAATTGGAATTACACCTCTAAGAAATAGATTGAAATGTATTTGAACAATATTATGAATCCATTTTCATAAACAATATGTTGTAGAAATACTTCTGAACACTTTCATTATTGATCAGAGGGGGTTTTGTGGAGAATTTAGTATTTTCACAGTTGAAATCATTAGTCAATTGAAGCTAGACCACCATCGAAAACCTGGAAGCACTGGACGGCCGTTTCGTCCTATTATGGGACTCCTCAGCAGTGCGCATCCACGAACCCGCTCTCGCGAGCGAGATTCGAACCCAGGACCTACCAGTCTCGAGCCCCCAAAACCCCCTCTGATCTATAATCATATGCTCACTAGTGACTGACTTCAAGAGATATTTCTTTGAGTTCTAGTGGGAAGCAGTGGCCAGTGGAGTTCTACCAGGTCTGTTGTAGAGATATCATCTCACTGAGGACAATTGGTGAACGGTCGCTCAATATCGTGGATTGGTTGAAGTTAGACATTAACACCGTTGGATGCCAGCTCAGTGGTCTATCGGTTAAGGGCTTCGGCTCGAGACTGGTAGGTCCTGGGTTCGAATCTCGCTCGCGAGAGCGGGTTCGTGGATGCGCACTGCTGAGGAGTCCCATAATAGGACGAAACGGCCGTCCAGTGCTTCCAGGTTTTCGATGGTGGTCTAGCTTCAATTGACTCATGATTTCAACTTTCATTATTGTTATTCGTGAACTTCAAGTCACCAGTCTATCGGGTCACAAAAAACTTCAGGCGCAATCACAAAAAAAGCATTAAACTGGTTGAGTACATCCTTTCCAAGTCATACCAAAACATTTAACCCGCATTGAATTTTATATGAATATATTTCCGCCATAGCATTAAACATACGAAATGTCTATTAATTTATCAAGATTTAAAAATTTAATTTTATCTGCATGTTGTAAACACATGTTACTATTCTGTTCATCCCTGTCACATAAATATTACATATTGCGCAAGTCATTTTCACATTGACTAGAATTGTTACTAATCACTAAGGTTACTGTGATAAAATATGATGATAAAATCGATCATAGATATCATGCTGATTTTAATAATCAGTCTTATTATTAATGTTTTAGTCAAGAATAATTTATTCGTAATGCAGATTAACTGATGTGTACTATAGTAACCAAAACTGTTATAATGAATATATTTAAGTCCAATCACTGGGTTTTAAATAGATACAATTTGTCTAAAGTAAATATTTTTATCCTTGGACATGTGATTAATTGAGACAAAGTATTTTTATCCATAAGCTTAGTCAAAATATTTAGGCTATTCATTTCCCTTAAGTCAGTAAAAGTGTGGATTTTCATAACTGTTCCTGTGATTTTCAACTAATATTAC